TATATAAATACTTAAAATATATATAAATACTAAAATAAATATAACATCTCTACTTTGCTGATTTTCACTTATTGTGGGGGTGGGGGACGGTCTGGTGCATAACCTGCGTGATAAATGAGGGACCACTGTAAAGCACTCTGGACAGACCTTAGCTCACAGCCGACACAGTACTAGCAGTATTTGGGACTGATTTATAGTTTTAGGCAGAGAAGGCTCTGTGTCTGAGGTCTATAAAATATTTTAATTTCTTTTGATGTCAGAAAAAAAACAGACTTTTAGGTTAAATAAAATGCTTTGAAATATGATAGATACATTTTTCTTTATACTGACAGTTATAAAACAAAACTTTTGCTTTTTTTAAGGAGAAAAGGGCCCACAAACACATGAGAACCTATAAAGGTCAGGATGTGGCCCTAGAGCAGTAGGAGGAGGAGGAAGCTTGAACTGCATTGCTTTAGAGACTGATAGTTAAAGACCCCAAAGAAAAATCTGGAAAGGAGTAGTGATGTCACAGGACCGTGAGCAGAGCTACGCTGTGGAAGCCACAGGCAGTGGGACTGCAGGAAGGACTCTGTCTCAAATGTTGCCAAGAGGCCAGGTAGAAGAGGAACAAAAAATACCCAGGGGCTTTAGTGACAAGCACCAAATCAGATCTGATACTCTTTTTTATTTATTTATTTATTTATTTTTTATTGGCAGAGCCAGGGATTGAACTCAGACCCTTGCGTTTGCCAGGAAAGCACTTATTCTACTGAGTCATCTCCCCAGTCTCAGATCTGAAACTCTTGATGGGAGTTGTTTTGGTGCTCAGAAGAGAAAAAAGACTGGGCAGGGAATGCAATGATAGGTTTAGGTATTTTTTCAAAAGTTTGGTTCTGACAAGCAAGCTTTTAGAGGGAGGCATGAGCTAGCTTAACTGACACCCAAACATCTCTGCTGGATCCCAGCTACACACGGAATTGTTCGTGATACCACATGGGTAAAGGGGCTCTCATACCTTAGACAGTCAGAGGGGTAAGCCCAGGGAAGGGAGCTCAGGCCTACAAGCCCAAGGCTACTTGAGGAATGAAGGCAAAGATTCAGCCTGAGGTGGTCATCCAGGGTTTCTCTCATAGCTTCCCCACCTCTAGTTCGGAATAAGTGACTCATAGTGAAAGTATGTGGCAGGATTAAGAAATGGGACTATGACTGAGGGTGAGATTGTGAAACAAAATACCTTGGAGTAGCTTTCACTGGCTACCCATGCTGTACCATTGCTTCCCCTTGGCATTAGCACAGCCCTGGGGCCCATTGGGAAAGGTTATGGGGAAAATGTGACTCTAATCCATTTCCCAAATAGAAAAAGACTTGAAGACAATACAGAGCTGGCCTGAAGACTGTTCACCAAGAATACCTGTCTAGTTTTGTCCATTGTGGTTTGCCATCCAGAAGAACCCTCCATGATGGAATGATGGCTGCCTGAAAGTACATCCTCCATTAGCAGCTGCATGCCTACCAGCTCTCCATGAGCCACCTTTTGGTCACCATCACTCAGCCCACAGAAGCACAACTAAGAATGAAGAGGCAAACATGAAATAAAAATGGCCTCCCCACTTTGAAAACTTTTAAGTACCCTTTACATGTGATTTTTTTTCTTAAAAACTAGGAATAAGTGCAACCATAAAAAAATCCATTAAAATGGTTAATTAGAAAAATCCATAAAAACCAGGGTAACATTTGTAGTTTAAAGTCCACCCTGAACATATCAGGCTTTCGATCCTATGCAGAGGTACCAAGTATCTTGGACCTCACAGCAGATCTGTGTGATGGACATATAGCATGACATTAATTTTTCCTTTGAAAAGACAAATATAAACACATGTATGCTGAGGAAAAAGGTTAGGAAAAAATTCTCCAAATTAAACTGTGACTGTCTCTGAGTGGTAGGACCATACGAGTTTTCTTTTCATAAACTATTCTTATTTTTACTGTAGAATAATCTACTTAAGGAAAATTTATGGTAGTTCCTATCACCTAGCCCCAGCAACTATCTACTTATAGATAGTAACATCCAATCCACTCCTCCCTCCATATTTTGAGGTAGACTTATGATTTATCTGTTGCTCTTACCATTTTAAAATATTTTTTAAAATAAAAATGCAACATTTACTTGGATAACCAATAAAAAACATAATGATTAGAAGAAAGTAAGTTTAAAAGAAAGAAGCCAACAGTGAAAACTAAAAAACAGAAACCCTCCTAATGAGTCTTGCTGAGAAAGTACTCGGCCAACCAGAAGCGCCAGGCACCAGCCTTCCAGCCTGGCTAAGAGGCCGGAGGGTGATTAGAGAGGGAGGTTCCTCCTGTAGATCACCGCTCCATGGGAACCAAGGCCGAGACCCTGACTTCCACAGAAGGAAAATATGACTCACCTTGTGGTATCAGGTTTAAAGCTTCCTAATTGCACACCAGTTTATCTCATAAATTACTCACTCCTGGCTAGAGCATGGGGCTCTGACCTGAGGACCTAATGACAACCTGCTCTGCGGTCTGCATTCAGTTCTCCCTCAAGAACGTGGGAAGATGCGCCTACCTGCATGTTGTACTCAAGGGTGTCTGGGGTGCAACTCATAACTGGAAATGGTCCTCCATCTTCCAGAAATGCTCTCCAGGGGAACATCACCGATGCCTACAACCAAACAACAGACGTGATAATGCTACGCTGTCTCCCTGAGTTGGGGATATCTGTATATGAATAGGATTTCTGTGTCTGCATCCCCAAACCATTATTGGATTGACACAGGAAGAAAAACTGATCTCAGATGACCTCCAAATGATACATGGAAAAAATGATTTCTCAACCTGAAAAGTACTTGGGACAAGTTCGTGTTCTCTAAAACTGAAGAGTGAATTTCAGGGATAAATGGAGGTTTTGAGCAGAATATATTTATTGGGGGAAAGAAAGCTCCTGTCAGAGAGAGGGACAGGAGAGGGGCCTTGAGTGAGTGGTCCCTGGGCAGCTGTTCCTTCCAGGGACTTTTATAGAGGAAAACCATGCAGTGAAGTAAGTCTAAGGTGGTGGCGAACATGGGAACTTGCTTAGGTGGGCATGAGGTGGGACAAAACTGGTCAACCAATGAGATTACAAGCACCACTGCTCAGGTAAAATTGATTAAATCCAGTACCAAATGAGGAAGAGTCACATAGCAAGGGGGCATGAATATGGGACAGGGTCTCTTCCTGTTGAGGATTGTGTTAGTGACTCATTTGGGCTCTTTCAAGGTGATTGATACCTATTTAGAATATCAATCCCTGATGCCCATCCCTAGGGAAGTATGTAGCTGTATTTGTTTCCTCTTCTGTCTTGAGGTCTGGCCCAGAGCTGAAGAGTGTCTGTCCATAGTCGCAAAGCCACCTTGTCTTCCATCTTGTCTCCTTGAGGGCCTGGCCCTACCTGACTGCCTATAATATTTCTATCTAATTCAGCTGCCTACAACAGGATGACTTAGTAAGTAGAAATACTTCTTGATGCTAAGTCTGTACTAATGCAGAGGAGAGAGCAATAATTATCTTAAAGTTGTTTTTGGAGCAGAAGGTTTCAGCTAAACTAGTTGGCATGAGTGTTCAGAAGTTCAGAAGTTTCAGAACAGGGTAACACTACTGGGGTATGTTTATAATCAACAAAAATAAACTTATTTAAATGTTCTCAATACTGAGGACATTAAAAAGTTATCCTTCCACACACTTGTTCCCCAAATCTAGATATCAGCTCAAGACAATGCCACAACATATTACATGTATGCCTCTGTCTTTTCCACATCAGAGTATGATAACAAAGGGACAGCCTATTCCTTGTGACAGACACCATGTGTGGCCCTGGATCCAGGGGGCCTGCCTCTCTGACCCTATTCTGTACTTCTGGACCTGGTTCTGGCTTTAGTCAGTTCAGAGAGATGGTAGTGATTCTGGCCCTAGGGAACCAGGATACCTGAGTCCATCTAATCTAGCAAACACCCAAAGGTAGCAGGAACAGACCTAGTAGTGATGGTCTAAGTCTATCTTTTGGATCTAAAGGAGGGAACAAGGACTAGCTTGCTGCTGGGGGTCATTGTTAGCATCACTTACTTATAATGTTTCTAATGTTCAGACATTAAGTGAGAAGTTTTCAATAAAAATCTTGAGCCTATGAAGTGATTTAAAAATATGTTCATAACCTTTTTGATTTTCTTTTTCTTTCAGAACTGGGGATTGAACTCAGGAACCTGCACTTGCCCTGCAGGTGCTTATTCTACTGAGCTATCTCCCCAGCCCCTTCTTTGATATTTTTCCCATCAAGAGCTGGGGCTAAACTGGGTGTGGTGGTGCATGCTTGTAATCCCAGCACTTGGGGGAGGCTGAAACAAGAAGATCACTTCAAGTGCAAGTTTTAGGTCAGGCTGAGCTATATAATGAGTTGAAAACAAACCTTTTTTGAGACTCTTAAAAAAAAAGCTGGGGCTTAATTTTCTTTCTCTTCAGTGTGACTGGACTTGGTAATGGTACCTCACTTCTACTGAGTAAAATATAAGAGATGTCATTTCTGAAATTTCATAAGAAAAAGTTAGAACTGCCATCTTAGGTTCTGTCAGATTGTTTACTCTGGGGGAAGCCACCACCATCTTGTGAAGAGCTCTGTAGCACAGTCACATGAATAACTTGGAAGCAGAACTTCTGATGTCTACCAGAAGCCACCGGAGTGAGCATGAAGCAGCTTTTCCTGTGGTTATGTCCTGGGATGTTCACAGCGCCAGCCAACATCTTGACTAAGGCCTAGTGAGAAACCTTGAGCCAGACCTGCCCACCTCAGCTTCTCCCAGCTTCCCGACCTCAGAAACGATATTGATGTAGTGCACGTTTATGTTTTTTGCCTGTTAAATGGCGGTGGTGGTATGATTTGTTCTACAGCAATGGATCAGGAATATTATTTGTGAATATCATTTTCACTGCCTTGACCCTGCAGTAACCCAGTCTCTGGCTTTCCTAAACTTTGAGCTTTGGAAAATGGATAGTGTTGTTCCTGCCTAGCAGCAATAATGGTTGCCAGGATTTCACTTGATAACACATATGATAACCAGGCCTATTCAAAATTCAGCTGCTGACCCAATTAATGTATTACAATTGCTGTCATTATGTATTAAATGGAAAAGATCAAGTGTTTGTCTTGTCACCAGCTGGGACCAAATCAGCTGTGCCTCCACCAGTCTGTAAAGCATTTGTAAACAAAGCCCCGACTGGGAGTAACAGCTGCTCATGGGAGCCCATGCTGCTGCACCGTGTGGGGAGACTGACGGGCATTAAAGCATGTAATGGGTCAACTCACATTTTAGACTATACATGTAAATCTTGTGTTTTCTGTTGTGTAAAAATGTATACTCGCAACTGTTCTAAGTTGCTTAGTAAATAGTGGCTGTTACTTGCTGTTTGCTAGATAAAATTCCTACCTAACCAACCCCTGTAAACAAAGTTACAATACAGAGATGACTCAAAAGGAAACTAAATGGGATTTAACTTCTTGTAACCTCTGACTATGCAAGGTTGCCTGCAGGTACTCAAGTGCAAGATAATCAGAAACTAAAACAAGGCCCTAGGAAATTTAGTTTGGGTAGTGGTCACAATGACCCTAAAAGCACTGTTTTGTGTCAGACAATGAATTTGTTTACCAAACAGAATGTGGTTTCATGTTTTAAAAGCCCCCCCTGCTTCCTGGGCTAGCTGCCTTTTGGTCCTCTCCTGCGTGAGAGCTGATGGGGGCCCTGAGCTCAGTAATAAATGGTTTTCCAAATCCAATCTGGCTGATCTGGTTCCTATTCTGAGTGACCCATAACAAGCAGGATGACTTGCAGAGCTTAAACCACATAGGAACAAAGCGATGCTGCCCTGTATGCAACACGTCTCCCCACCCCCACTCCCACACCAGTGATTGAACTCAGGACCCTGCACTTGCCAGGCAGGTGCTTATTCTACTGAGCTATCTCCCCGACCCAGCACATGTTTTACAGGTATAACACAGCTCTAAAACTTGCCTGCAGGCTCTGTGGATGCAGTGGCTGTGGCAAGCTGAGTTGTGAGGCAAAGATGCTCTTCATGAGAGAGTTGCTCAGTGGTGGTAACCCATGGTGCATGCCATCTGTGACAGACTGGTAGGCAGCAGCATTTCCCACAGCCAAGAATGTTTTCCTATTGAAACATGGGGGAAGGGAAGGATTTCACTTAAAGTGGTTACATAGCAGGGCATGGTGGTGCTCACCTGTAATCACTCAGGAGGCTGAGGTGGCAAGATTGTGGCAAGTTTGAGGTCAGCAAGGGCTACAAAGTGAGCTCAAAGCCTGTCTAAACTGCATATCAAGACCCTGTCTCAAAAAGACAAAGTAAATAAATAAATAAATAAATAAGTAGTGATGTAAGCTTCTTAAGTCCAAAACTTCCTTCCGAGTGACATTGGCAAGCTAACACTGTGATAGAAAGAAGTTTCTCCTTCAGCCCCACAGCTTTGCACACTTCCTGCTGCTCCTGCTGCTGACAACTCTCAGGGAAGGGACCAGAGAAGCAGGGTTCCATAGAGCTGTCTGCAGTGGCAAAACGCTCTGCACTGTCCGAAGTTGCTGGCCACCTGTCTGTGACTGTTGAACACTTGAAATGTGACTGCTGTGGTTGAGAGATTGAATTTTAAATTTTATTTCATTTAAGTGCAGATTAATTGTAATGAAATAGTTACAGGCGGCTATCTAATTGGACAGAACACTTATGGCCCTGGAACCAAGCTATCACTTAGCTATCTTAAAACCAATAGGTGAGACAATAGCTCTTGATGTGTAAAACCAAATTTTGAATTACATAGTAGAGCCAGGGATTAGAGAGAGGGTTTGTTTTGTTTTGTTTTGCTTTAAACAGAACTTGGCTTTGTATATCAAGAACTACAAAGCTTGAAGCCAAGAACATGAAATTTAAACCATGAGTCAGAGAAAGGAGGTATGCCTGATAAATTAGGATGATTTTTCCCGCCCCAAAGGAAGAGTTTAGGAAGGAAGGAAAGACTATTTCTAGAGTTTAAGTCAGGGATGCCTAAGAAAGATCCTGACAAAGGATAAGCCAGGGGAAAGGTGTCCCCAAGTACTGACTGACTGCCTGGATCCCCTGTGTGACCCACGTCTGACACACAGCATACACCAAGGAGCGGGACAGGAAATAGTGGAGGGAGATGTCAGCACGGTGGAGGTGAGGAGGCCTCCAGAGCCCAGGAGATCCTCGGTGAGTATGGGGTAAGATCTGGGCGTACCATAACCCCAATACATGGGTGTCCAAGAGAGTCTAAGCCACAACAGAGTGGGTAAGGAGGCTGCTTCTCCCTGACTGCCAGGATGCTCGATAGGCCCTCCAAGGAGAATGGGGATCACCACCGAGAGGAATGAATAGGGAGGATGGGACGTGAGGCCTTAAAGTAAGGTCAGACATTATCTGTGGCCTAGACATCCGGCCTATAACCACAAGTTCCCCTCCCCACTGTGCCCCTGGGATGAAGTCCCTGTTTTCCAGTAACCTTTCTTTCTTTCTTCTTCCATCCCCCCAGAACCAGGGATTGAATTTAGGCCCTTGCACTTGCCTGGGAAGCACTTATTCCACTGAGCCAACTCCCCAGCCCCCAGTAACCTTTCTTATCTCTCAAAATGGCTTCAGTTTCTGGCCTGCCTCTGGGATTAGCAAAATAAACCAATCAAACGCTCCTGAGGCCCCAGGGAAACCACACCTTGCTGTTACTCTAGAGCCTGCCTCCCCTCCCACTAATCTCAGTGGCCCTGCATGGCCTGCAGCTATGCCTCTCTGGACTGAGAGTGATCCCATCTGTCCAAGCCATGTGCTGTGTGTCCAGCTATCACGTAATCCATGGAGGACTCTTTCCCCACCACAGGGTGAACAGGAGGCAGCTGAAGTGCACAGTAATGGGAGGATCTTGAATTAGCTGATTTTAAGTCTGAAGCTGAACACTTTTAAACTCTCAGTGTAATTCAGGAATGTGATATAAATATGATGGGTACTGGAAAGTTTGATAATTTTGTCATCAGTAGATGTAAGGACTTATGAGCTTAAGACAGATAAAAGGAGCTTCACATCTGTAAACTGAACAATGCATAAAATATTTTTTTACATTTTAATGAGCATTAGTAATAAATAGCTCAGCTGGTGAGATAGCTCAGTGGCATAAGTGCTACTGGCAAGTGGAAGATCCTGAGTTCCATCCCCTGTACAAAAAATAAATAAATAAAATAAAATAAAAAACGAAAGAAAAAAGAGAGAGAGAACATACTGATTTATGTTCCTCCTCCATATATATATGTGTGTGTACATATATGTATATGTACATATACTGCTACTTAGTATATGTATTACATATACTGGGGAGTTGAGTGAATCATGTGTCCCTTAACAGGGCTCATTGAGAATCATGAGCAAATATATGAAAGATAAAATAAGCAGGAGAAAATTTTTATATATCCTTTGGATGACTTCAAGATCCTTTCATGGAGTTTAATTGCCAGCATCTGGGGGGAGGGATTAAAAAAAGTTGGGTGTGGTGGCACATGCCTATAATCCCAGAACTTGGCAGGCTGAGGTAGGAGGATCACCTGAGCTTGAGTCTAGCCTGGGCTGCAAAGTAAGCTCAAGGCCACCCTGAACTTCACAGTGAGACTCTGTTTCAGAAAGACAAATGTACATACATTATGTAATCCTAGTGCTTGAGAGACTGAGATGAGAGTACCACTGCAAGTTCAAATCTAGTCTGAAGTATATAGTGAGAGCCTGAGGCAGATTAGGGCTTGGCCAACTGGCTGGGCAAGTGGATGGGACCTATAGATCACAGAGTTCCAAGACATGCACAGGACAGTTCCTAAAGCCTTGCTTGAGCCTGCAACCTAACTGAGAATGCTGTCTTCAATTCTTGTGAGAATTTGAGCAGGCTTTGATGGGACAGCGTAGACCTGGCATCAGCCTAGGAGGTGGAGGACCACTGCTGTTGACCTTGGGCCGAATCACCCTCTTTCACAGTCATCCCCTCTGAGCCTGCAGGGTGAACTTCTTTCCCTTCTTTTAATTGGCCCACACTCTTGCTGCAGAGTATGATTCTTTCCCTGCATTTACCTTGCTATCTTTTGTGGGGTTTTCGTCCAATTATTTGTTCAGGACAAGAAGAACCTAAGAAGTTTCCAGCATTCCAGAACCCAGTAACAACAGTGTTTCAAAAAAACAAAAAGCAAAAGTTTAACATTCTAAGAAAGACATGCATTTTCACCCCAAATCAAGAAGTAAAGGGGCTAGGGAGATAGCTCAGTGGTCTAAGTGCCTTCCTGGCAACCACAAGGACCCAGGTTCCATATTTGGTACCACATGCCTTGCAGGCCCCGGAATCCCAGGCACATTGTACCAGCCACCAAAACCAGATGTGGTGGCACATGACTGTAATCCCAGAGCTGGGGAGGTTGAGACAAGAGGATCACTATGAGTCTGAGCTGCATAGTGAGACCCTGGACAAAAAAAAAGTCTGGGGTTATAGCTAGGGCTGGGAATATAGTTCAGCAGTGTGGAGGACCACCTGAGCAGCTCTCCTTGAAAGAAGAGCGACTGTCTCCATTTTGACTGAGCCTGACCCTATTTCCTATGTACAGACCTGGCTAGGACTTCTGTTTATCAATTGGCCTTAGGTAAATGTAGGCCACTCACCCAGCTCAGCTCATAATGATCACCTATTTCCCACAATTCTCAGTCAATCCTCCTCAAGCCACTCTGCCACTGAATAAAAACAGGGTGAGGCCCTGGGTCGCTCTCTTTGTTCCGGGAAGCCATCTTTGTGGCTGTACTTAGAGCCCCTTGACTCCCCAATGATTGAAAATATAATTGAAAATATAATTTAGTGTCTTTATTTTCACCATGGGTAGCATTGTAAGTGGTAGATTGGAATCAACTTGATGGGATTCCAGTAACGTAACTTTGGCATTATAAATATTGGCTTCTTGGACCGAGATGAGGTCCAGGAAGTTTCTCCTACAAGCAGCATAAGCACTTGCCTTGTAAGTGCAAGGTCCTGAGTTTGATCCCTTGTACAGAAGAAGAGGAAGAGGAGGAAGAGGCAGGAGACGAGGAAGAAGAATCCAGCACAATCTCTCCCCAAGTGGCTCCTTTTGTATCCTTTTTATTCAGCCCTGTCACTAATCTGTGGGATGGTTTCTCTTAGCTTCTGGGTCTGGCTTTGTTCACATCTTCCTCGTCTCATTTTCAGCTCACTCCCTTATCCTAACGAGTTGGTGCAGAACTTTGGAATGAATAACGCCATACATGATGACAGTTTTTGCTACAATTTTAGAGTCCCAAACCCACCTCTATGCAAATCCTAAGTGGCATGGGCTAGAAACTTCTACACACTGTGAGCCAAAATAACCCTTTCCTCCTTTAACTTTGGATGAGGGGTATTTGTCCCAGTAACAAGAAAAGCAACTAAGATGGTCAGTGACCTTGAAAATAAGAATTTTAAAATGAAAAACTAAGAAACAGCCAAGGGGGCTGGGGAGATAGCGCAGTAGAATAAGTGCTTGCTTGGCAAGCACAGGATCCTGAGTTCAATCTCTGGTCCCACCAAGAAAAAAAAGAAAAGAAAAGAAAAGAAAAGAAAAGAAAAGAAAAGAAAAGAAAAGAAAAGAAAAGAAAAGAAAAGAA